TTCTTGAAAAACCCACAATAGTGAAATTCAAGCTGGAGTGAAGAGGGTTGTTTTGTTGTTGTGGTGTTTTGTTTGTTTTGGTTTGGTTTTTTTCTGCATTTTTACATGGTGTGTCCAATGTCCTAGTTAAATATCTCTTATCTTTTTTACATCTCTTACTAATGCATTTTGAACAATAAGTAAATATATGAAGGTATCTAATGAGATATAGGCTTCTTAAAAAAGAGAGTCTTTTGTATGATGTTAGAGGATATACACTGTAGCTACTTCTGTAAAGGATTTCCTGTAGAAAATACTGAAAAAGGCTTTATGGGAAATTGGTTTATAGAAACAAAAAGCACCTAAAGCTTTCTTTGCACTTCCTAAACAAGGCATACAAAGTTACCTTTAGCTGTTATTTTTGTAAATCTTTTAATCCATGTAGATGTGATGAGAATGAATGAATTTAGTCTTGTATGGCTATAATTTCCAGCTGGATTAGACATGGCATCACACCAGTGTTCCTGTCAATGCCACTCTAACTGGTTCAGGACAGCCAGTTGATCCCAAGACTGCTTAAAAGGATCAAAAGCTTTTCAAAAGTGTTCCCGTGTCTTCTGTTTTCCATATGCTTCTTACTTTCTAGCTTAAATTCACTTTCTGAAAATGTCTGTCTACAGGCAGAAGTTTCAGCCCAATTTTTGGTCTGTACTTTGTTTATCCCGTCTGTATTGTCAGGATCATAGCCTTTTGCTTTCATCTAACAAATGGTAGGATGGCGTAAAAATGAAATCTTTCTTAGGGTTATTTTTTTTTGGTTTTTTGTTTGTTTGTTTGTTTGTTTTTGTTTTTTTTTGTTGGGTTGTTTTTTTTTTTTTATATTGAGAAGTTTAGCAAGAATACTTACAGTTATTTTTGCTCTGGAAAGCACCAGGGAACAAGAAGTATGGATGCTTAAATGTTTCATTGTACAACAAAACCAAAACTAACAGTTCCTAATCCTGATTTTAAAACAGATTATGAAAGGCTGAAGATGAAAACATCAGAATCTCCTACAGTCTTTTTATATATATTTGGTTACCCTTCCTACATGTAAAGTCTAACTTGGTTGAGTACAGACTTTTTAACTTGGATAGCCTATTACATAGGTAGTCTCTGTACTAGAGCTGTCATATATAATACAGAGGACTCAATGTACTTAATATTATTTGGATGTATTTAGTTGTGATAGATGTTTGAGTCAAACCAGACCATACAGAAGAGAGTAATTTCTTTATGAATACTCAACAAGCCTTACATTATTTTACAACTACTCAGAAATTCTTATCTGCTCTTCTGCAAAGCTTTTAATTATTCTGGACCATCCCCCCTACAAATAGCAATTGCATTGTTTTATCAATAGTAAGGGTTGAGGAACAAAATACAAATTATCCTATTTTATGATTTGCATTTACTTAGTGGTGCTTTATGTGTTATTAAACACGCAGAAGATTAATTTTTTTAAATTGTGTTAAAATATGTATTGCAAAACTGCATAAAAGCATAGTAATTTGGTAATTAATGTGGTAGATAATGACAGTCTTTCCATTTCCAGCTCTGTCTGTACAAGAGTTCATTGCTTTTGCTCTTTCCTCCTCTGTAGTGGTTAGGAAATTTTAGCCAAAGCATCAAACTGAGCAGAAATCAGGCTTTTTTTTTCAGTCCGAGTACAGGTTAGCATTTCCAGCCCTCTGTCAATAAAACAAAAGAGACTGGTACTGCAAGAGAAAATACTTCAATTGTGTGCTTAATTAAACTTTTGTTTAATGTTTTTGTGAAAGTAGTGTTTTAAAACCTAAATACTTGTAAAATTCTGAAATATGAAAAGCAACATTTCTGTGAGGTTTAAGTTGGAAAGTAAATGGGCATGTCTACCAAACTAGCTAATTTGTGTAAAATAGCTACTTTGTGCAGATCTTAAAATTCTTTTTGCTGCCATTATTCAGGATCTGGTTAACAGTATTTATGCCAAATATGCTGTGTTGCAAGGTGTGAAGAGGCAGTGGTGCTAACTTCGTATTGCTAAATATTGTACTTAGCACAGTGGGACATACTTTTATAGCCTGGATTAAGGAAAAGGGGATAAATTCTTTTAAAATTATCATAGCCATAACAATTTCATTTGCTGTAAATAGTTTTAAAGGACTCATTATACATGTCAGTGCTTTCAGCAACATAGAATTATTAAGGTTGGAAAAGACCTCTAAGATCATCAAGTCCAACCATCACCCAATGCTACCATGACCATTAAACCATGTCCCCAAGTGGGACATATACATGTTTTCTGAACACCTCCAGGGATGGTGACTCCACCACCTCCCTGAGCAGCCTGTCCCAATGGCTCACCACTCTTTCAGCAAAGAAACATTGATAAATTATTAAATTTAATGTATGGTGTAAATCACAGGAGCAAAGACTGAAATGCTTGAGAAAGGTATTCCCCTACCATGTTAATAAAATCTGTAGTGGAATAATAGCAGACATTGCTGAGACTGGCTTTGAAAGGGCACTGGAGAGAGGAACTAGAAGTTGTAGTTTGTATTTTTGTATGCCATACATGATAACAAATGAATGCCTGAATGTGCTTGTAAAGTAAACGGAGAAGGAAGTGTGTGTGTATGTGTGTGTGTGTAGTGCACGTATAAGGCTTTGAGGACTAAAGCTAGCAAAGTATAACTTCCCTAACTTTTTTTTTAGGGCAAGAAAAAAAAAAAAACAAAAAACAAAAAACAAACAAACAAAAAAAAACTAACAAACACAAAGATTTTGCCATTGGTTTTGTCAAGAATTTGTTTTGGTGATATGTTGTTTCTCCTTTGGGCACTTGCCCTCTAGAAATCAGCAACTAACTTGGCAGTTCTGAATCTTTCATTTTGCTGGAAATACTTGTGCTTCCCTGCCTTCTGTCAGCAAAACCTTTGCAATCTTTTACATGGAAATATCTCAGATTAAATTTACAGTTACTTTTAGTCTACTTTTTGTGTAATGTCATTCCTCAGTCTTTTTGTTGCTAGAGATTTAAATCAGTAAGACTGGTGATTGGGAAATTTCCTAAACTCATCTGGCAGAGTAGTGTAAAAAGACTTAAATAAAAACTATTCTGTGTCAAGGCTTAGGGTCAGGGCCATCCACTAGACCTATAACAGATGCTGTCTGTTAACCCCTCTTCCTTCCCAGGAGGAAGAGAAAGGGAATAAGGGAAAGAAATTTACAGATTAGAAAACTAAAACAGCTTTAACTAAATAATAATAAAATCAAATATATACAAAACCAATATTGAATCCAGTGTCACTCATGGCATTTACGTCACTGTTACCACTGATGTTGTGGGCAGGTACTGGGGAAGTCCCAGAATGGATCCAGTAGCAGATGGGAGCCAGGTTCAGGAGCTGGATTCTGGAACTGGATTCAGGAACACATGGATTGGGATTGAAGGCAGAATGGACAGAGTCTTCCTTGGACATCAGCTATTGAATAAGAGAGCTTGACTCTCCTGATCCCTCAGCTTTATACTGAATATGATGGCTATGGGATGGAATACCTCATTGGCCAGTTTAGGGTCACCTGTCCTGTCTACTCCTCCCCGCAGGTGTGACTTTTTACTTTCTGCTCCTCCAAGATGATACACAATATTTAGCAATGACCTTGGTCTTCATTCCAGTCCTTGGTAGTAATTCTTAACATGGAGCATTATCTCTGCTAGAAGCAGACACTGTCTGTGAAAAAAAAAATGCTGGTAACTTCAGAAAGGCAGTTAGTTAGACTTCGCTGAAAAGTAAAATCACTGAACAGTATTAGTTCTGTTCTAACTCAAACCAGAACAATCTGTTGATATAAAATTCCTTAGATATTTTTTTTGTGCAGGCATCTTTTCAGAAGGTTGAGCAAACATGGAAGCCCATGTTTAAGAAGTTTAAGAACCACTGACTTTAAAGAGTGTTGATTCTCTTTTCCCTAATCCAGTTAAATACAAGCTCGAGTCTCATAAGATTCTTCCATGGTTTAAGATTAAGGAAGCAGATTTTGGTTTCTTTTTTCAATTTTTCTCATTTCATGTTCTGTATGTTTTGGGTGGTGGGGAGTGGAGACTTAGGATTTCTATTGTAGCTTCAGGAGGGAAGTTTTTATGATGTCCAAACAAGAAATTCAAGGTACTGAAATAATCATATCGTTAAAATATTCTATTTGTTGTTGTCCCAGATACAAAGAAATTGACTCTTGAATATGTTAGCTCTTTATTTCCCCACGCATTTCCTTACATTTCCTGGTTTTGTTTTTCAATGTCATTTTCTCTTTTCTTTTTTTTTTTCCAAATCTGCTTGAAGCTTTTTTATTATCTGTACAGATAGTGCAACTCATTGCTAGCCTTTAAGTAACTCGCCTGATTTTTAACAACTGCAATCAGAAAGTTTGTCTATTAAAAGATCTTTTATAAAATACAAACTTTCTTTTGTTTCTCTGTGCTATAATAATTCAAACTGTTTTCTAAAAACATCTCAAAGGAGATGTAGGGTTTTCGTCTGTAAAATTATAGGCTTCTCTCATTAACACATCATCAGATTCTGACAGACTGTAAAATATTGCTGAACACCATTTGATTTTGACAGTCACAGCTATGTAACGTCTTAAAAACAATTCAAATCCACTCATTTTGTTGTATTTTTTTCAGTTTAGTTCATCACATAAAGTGCTATGCCTATCTACTGTAGTACTATAAACTTATTCATGGAAGATTCCAAAAGAGCCTAGAAGGTACTGTCTTTACTAGGAGTCACTATGGTAAGACTGAATTTTCAAGACAAGATGTCATACAGCTTCTGTATTTTCTGTACATTTTTACACCCAAGTCTTCATGGGTTTTTTTATTGATTTTTGCTTTATAGTGCCTATATTAGCATAAATCATGTCGCAGCAGTTCTTCTAGGTTTTTTGCTTTTATTTATTTACCATTTAGCATTCCTTAATAGTAATTTTTAAGTATAAAATCCTGTTGGATTCTGATGCTGCAGAATATGGAGGACATCAAAGGCTGGACCACAATACAGAGTACTTCTCCGAAGAATATTCTCACAATTATCGACCGAATTCACTTATGGTAAGTAAGAATTTTATTTTTTTAATTCTACTTTCATTTCAATCACTTTCAAAATTATTTGGACAAATACGGAGTCTATTCTGCAAGTATTTTGGAGGGTGGTGGGTTTTTAAACTTTATTTTCTGAAATTAGCCTTCATATGAATACAATAGAGATGACAATGTTATGATTTGATTATGAACTATGGTGTTAACTGATTTTTCTCTCTTAACATTGCATTTAAATTTGCATGCTCTCTTTCAGTGTCTGGCACACAACATTCCTTGCCAACATGCATGAAAACTTTCTAAAGTGCATTTGAGTTGTCCTTTTTAATATCAGTGTTTGCTTTATTTTCATGTGTGAGAAACTCCATCTTTGTGCTTGCTTTGTGATTAAAAGCTCTTTAGAAAATTAATCTTGCATAGCTTTCTTAAAATCATTTGCTTAACTCCACAAACGAGAGCAAATCATGAATTTGCCAACTGACTTTCTCCTCCTCAGTTTACAGAAAAACTTAACAGATTAACAGGTCTTCTCTGTTCACATCCAGAATTTCAAGAATTCCCAGTCAGTGATACGAATAATGGATAAAGACTTTCCCATAAATCACCTCATATGAAGTGGGAGGCACTTCAAATTGCGTACAATTTCTGTTAGCTGGGATGGTGACTATAAAAACTCATTCTTCTTAATTAGTTTTGAAATTATAATCACCACAATTAACAACTTAAAAATGTCATTTTCCCCATTCTTTTTGTATATAAATATATGAACATCTTTCCCATTCTTTACATGTGTTTTCACATATATATGTGTGTATATGTTCACAGGCACAACAGAATAAGATCCAAAAAGGCTATGAATTAAGGCAGGATTCACTTCAAAAGTTCTGACAACTCTGATCTTGCTGACTAGATTTTCATATCTGAAACACAAATGTGGGTGAAAGGCTGGGTATCTTTGTGCATAGATATGTTTATACACATAAACACCTGTAAATAAATTACACTTGTAATCTTAAGAGGCTACTAAAATGGAGTATCTGCACTGATTTGTGTGGGCCATGCCTCTTCCATGACAGAGTGGAGACATAAGTTTCTAGTGTCACATCATTACATCTCTCATGAGTTCTAAACTCCTGAGAGTTATTGTCACTTTTAATGTCTTTTTCACTCAGTTTTCACCCTATTTCATGTTATTCGTGGTATTAGCTTTAATCACATTTGCTTGTCGTAACATAGTTTCATTACATGAAAGAATTCTTGTGCTTTCAGTGTGCTTGGTATAAAGGTTCTTGAGAACATTTTTATTCTTCTTTAGTATCTACGTGACAGTGCCCTGGTAGTATCTACGCTCATTTGCGCACAAAGAAACTAAGGCTCTAAAATGTAATTCCTGAAGGTTATGTAGCAAATTAATGCTTCCAGAATTCTTGCTTCATGTGTCCAGTTGGAATATCTTGCTTTGGTGATTGGAGAGCATCTGCCACTAACTTAACTTTTGCACGACAATTAACTGTAATTTCACATTTAGACTCTTAGATGGGAGTGCAAGTCATTCAAGAGAGGAAAAATGGTGACAAAATATGAAGATGCAATTTGCTAGGAGCATGTGGAAGATAAGGCATGTGACAAGGAAAGCAGCAAATGCACTTCTGCAGCATAAACCGTGGCATGGCAATGGCACTCCTGGGTCAGAAAGAAACCCAGTAGCATAGGTTACATTAACTTTCTTTTATGTCCTTCAGCAATCCAATTCACAGACCACCTACAGCCAACATCCCAGAAGATGCCCCAAGCACCAGCTAGAGGTAAAATCCTAGTAAAAGGACACCAAGTGAAAGTAACTGGGGAAGAAAATCTGGAAAACCTAACTAAATTCAGCAAGACAGAACTCCAATTCCAAAGAACAAAACTTACAGTAAATACCTCTGGATGCTATTTTACAATAAAACAGTGATGTTTTATTTTAAATAGCATTTTACATCCCAGTTCTTTGCTAGTTAGTCATCCAAAAAGAATTTCATTGTATCTTAGCTGCAGTTTCTAATATCCAAGTAGAAGTCTTCCCCTCAAAGTGATTTTCCAAAAACATATCATGACATCCTAATAAACTCATACGGGTTCTTTTCCTGCTGTTTAACAATTATCTTATTCTCTTTATGTAATGCATGAGACTTAAGTTTCTCGTTTCAAAACTTTTAGTTCCCCTTCCACCAGAAACTTCAAAAAAACATTTTTTTAGTGACAGATACACCTCCTTTAAGGTGTGTAAGTAAATATTGTCAGCAAAACATGCCCAGAGGACTATGACAAAATAAAATCACATGCAATTTTTCTGCTGCTCAGGTCAAGCTTAAATAGTGCACAAATGTGTTACAAAAATAGAAGATTAGACATGACATGATTCATTCTAGAAACGTCACCTAATAAAAGGAATATTCAAAGTGACAGTACAGAATGAGAAGAACGAAAATATTAAAATCCTGGAGCAAAGAACCCTGGATGAAGAGGAAGTTTTGTAAGCACTGCTAGGCATTTCAGTGTAAAATTTTGTTGATGAACAGATGGTGATTCAGGTCTGTTTAATAATGCTGTAGAGAGCCAGATTTCAAAATCATCAGACATACCTTGAAAACTCCGTAGAAAAATGCACAAAAAACATCCTTTGTAATATGACTGATTTAAATAATTATTATAATCTATTTTTTCCATTTCACTGCTTGCTCTGTTCTGGATTGTAAACAAACACATGAAATGTACATAACTTTCCACATAATCAAAGTTGGTAATAATAAGCCGTTAACCACTTTGTCACTGTAAAAATAGACTCTTTTTACTACAGTTTTCTGTCTTTGTCTCCAGTGTAGTATTTTCCTAATAGTCTTTTTATGAGGTATGCTTTGTAAAAGTTGTGCGCTTTTCCAATGTTTTTTATAAACTTCCAGTTTTTCTTACATGTTATCTCTTTGCAAGATGTAAGTTAAGTGCTGTGCACACATTTCAACTCTTGTCAGATCCTAGTGCCCCTTTGTATACAGTCATTTGTTCGTACCGTTCTTGGTGGTTGTAGTTGGATGTGAAACTTCGTTGGGGTGGGGAGGAGGAGAAAAAGAACCACTTTAATAACACTCATCATTCAAAGTGTTTTGTCAGTCTTTTCTAAGGCATGTGACTTGACTGAACTTTACTGTAAAATGGAAGTAGGTATCAGTGCGTGTCCTAGCAACTGCAATATTTTTGTACCACTAGAAAGTTAGGATTTGTATAAAAACCGTGAGGTTTATACTTCCATATTTTGTGCACCAACAGCACTGAGTAATAAGCAGGCTAAATGAATACTGTTGTATCGTGTTGTATGTTGTGTCATTGGCAAGGTAATATGCCATTTACTTAGAAATATAGGTTTTCAATATATTTCAGCTTTTTATAGATTTACTTTTTATGCAGTTCTTTCCAATTAGTTAAAAAAGAAATAGATGTCAAAGTATTCCTTTCCTCCATCCCCAGTACTATTTTTTTCTGATTCTCTGTTTTTGGGATCCACTGATATAATCCTTTCACATTAAATGAAACTGAAATTATATAATTTCTTTTAATAATATGCTTATTGATGGGTTGGGTTTTTCACCTTGACCTTAAAGTATACTCTTCAATGTCAAAGTGCAGCTTCCTGCTTCCTTAAGTCTATTGACAAATTAAAATACTCACATAGACTAAAACAATCTAAAAGCTTTTAGTGACCTTAGCTTTGAAAACACTCATTTGAATAACTTTTATAAGGACTTATGTACTGAACTTTAAGGGACTCATGTGGTCTTTTAACAGTTTTCTTCCCTGGCACGCACAGATAAACAGATGATATGAAAGAATGTTTGTATTTTGAGATACAGCCTGTGCAGTTGTCCTGGTTTGAGCTAAGACAGCCCAAACCCTTAGTGGCAGTATATGGACTTCTTCTCCATAACAAAGCAAGACTGACTTAGAAGTGATTTTCTGCATATTCATGCTGTACAGCTGTAAACTGGAAAACAAATTGGAAGGCAGAACTTCACAATACTTTAAGCATACCTTCTTTGTCATATGCAATATCTAGCAAAATGAAAACTCAAATGTCCGAAGTTTTATATAACAAATTATAGTTGGAAAGCAAAAGCTATCATGTATTTTATTCATTGATGGTTAATTATATTTTCAGAATAGTGTCAGTGTCTGACAATTAGTAGTGATAGAGAGACATGAAATTGTCTAAAGCCCGCATTTTAATTAAAAGTTTGGATAATGTTGGCATACTCTTGTGACATTGCCTTCTGCATCTACCAACTGCAATATGCACTATCAAATATCTTTATGCAGTGCCTGATCTAGCTCTGAGTTCTAGTAATTCTGCCATCTGTTGCAAAATGACCTTGAAATGATTTTCAGGGCTTGGTATTTTCCAACCCTGAAAGCAGAATGAAGAGTAGTTCATTGCAGTTCCAGCCAGTTTCAGTAGTACTTGCATCTGGTGCTGAATCCAGTCTGACTGATCTGAAAGTAGCAATTCTCATTTGCAGAACTTCTTGCTTGTGGGTTTTTAGATACGTTTGGACATTGCTGTGTATTGCAGTCCTCTCCCAAAATACACACAGTGAGATTTCTGCTTATAGCTGCTGTTGTTCACAGGTGTTTCCTGT